AGATTCTGTTGCTTCGGCCATGGGCTAACATATACTTTGTCAGCCTCCCGTCTTGACATTCTCGGCACTTCTTCTGCAGTGTAAGCCGCTGTGGAGACATCATCTGCTGAATCGCGTTGTGATCCTCGAACTGAAGGCAAACCTGGAGGTTCGGGAGGTGGTCCTGGACCGTTAGGCCCGAAAGGGTCCGAAGGTCCATCAGGATCAGGCGGACCGCCCCATCCACTCGGTGGCTTGTAGTAGTCCCTCTCAGTTCCGTCAGCGATCTTATTGTCGACCTCTTTCAGCAGATCAGTGATTCTTTTGTTTGATTGAGAAGGTTGTTGTTGAGAAGGTACAGCATGTCCACGATAGGAATGAGCCATATTTGTCTCATAGGTCAACTCCTTGTCGATCTGCGAAACCCAAGATTTCAGAATAGCGTTTTCACAGTTAGCCTCACTCACGTCATTCTCCAGTTTGTCGATGACTAGTCTTGATGCAAGGTCATAGTTGGGAATGCCTGCCGAATAGGGAAGTGTGTCAGGGCTTACCCTAGATATGGATGTTTCAGAATCCTTGAGACTCTTTCTCAGTTCATCTAAGTGACGTTTCATGTCCACAATCTCAGAATTCTTGATACCGATCTTTTCATCCCTATCCTGGATTTCCCCCATGAACATGCATGATCTCTCATATTGCTGAACACCACTAGCCAACTTCATTTTGCGCTCACTCTCTAGTTAAGATTTTAGAGTTCGGACCTCAGCGTTGGTGAGGGACGACGCCCCTACATCCGCAACTTCAGCCAATCTTTCTTTTAGTAATAAGTTCTCCTGTAAACATTCGTGAACTTCATGATCTAGATCCTGAACCCTGATTTGAGCGATTTTAGCTTGATTACGTAGATCTTCAACAAGCATCTCATCGGGGCCACGACCGTCGGTCGTAGTACCCTGAGTCAACGATCTTCGTAACTTCGTGTTCTGCAACTTGATCTCATCCTTTAATTCGCAGTTCATCTCCTGCTCGTTGGTGTAGAGCTCTTCATAGTGCTCTGCCCTTGCGATCGAGTTCGCACTAGCCTGTGATTCAAGCCTCAGGTGTGATATTGCTTCGGCCTCTTGGTTCCTGTATGATGCAATTCTTCTGACGGTATCATGTTCAGTGTTTCGATGCTTCAGATCACTTTCCAATTTGGCCTGATTTGCCTCGAAAACCTTCTTCCTAGATTCTCTAGTGATCTCGTCGATACTGCTTTCATACAGCTCGGCCTGTTTACGAGACTGAACTAAAGCTTCACTCAATAGTTGGTTCCGTTCAGATAATTCATAAACTGCAATTGATTGTTGTTGGCTAATCACTTCAAGTTGATTGCTAGAGAAGGATGCCATTTCGGATCGATTACGATATTCCATGATTGAGTTCTGGAAATCTGTTTGCATTTCTTGACCTTCATTGTATAGTCGATTGGCAATATCGGTGGTTAAGACATTGGTTTGATGAAGTTGTTGCAGTCTTGCCTCCGTATTACCCAGTAGTCCTTGAAGGTGATGTACTTCATCCTTGTACTCCTCCTGGATCTCCATACCACGTTGATGGATCCGTCGTGCACCATGTTCCATTAGGGCACCTCGGCGTTCAAGGTCTTGGATGCGTATTGTTGCACCTTCGTCTTCCTGAGATGCTACCATTAGTTCTGCTTGATATTCTGCAACCTCATTTGCGGAACATGACAATCTATGATTGAGTGCATTGACCTCATCAAATACATTCTGGTTGTGTTCCCGAAGATACTCAGTGAATCTGATCTCGATGTCATGAATCAGTTGATCTCTAGATGCAGCGTATGTTTCCATGTTGTTCAGCTGATTACGTAGGGATTGACATTGTGCCCGTAGTTCTTCTATCATGGCAATAGGTTCACTAGCCACAGAAGTATCCGTTGATCTCCTCTTAACACGACTATCCCCGGTCCTCTCACCAATTCGGTCGGTCATGGCCCTGGTGGATCTGTCCCTTGGAGTAGTACGTCCTCGAGATGGTCGATGCCCTTGGCGGACAACATCACTCCGAGCACTGTTTCGAGAAGATCTAGGTGTACTTTGGGTAGATATTCTTCGTCTGTTTGATGTAACTTGCCATCCGGACTGTGTAGTTCGGGTAGAGCGTATCCCACCACTGTCTGCCGTGTCACCAGGGGAAGATTGATTGACCTCCTCGACCGGCATAGCAGTGTTCTCATTGAAGGTAAACTGCGTGGTGCGCGAATCTCCGCTGCCGCCTTGCATCTTTGCGATGATGAGCTGATTGGTCCTTTGCGTCCTCAATCAATTGCTCAGAAGGCCCGGCTACCAGCACGCAGGTACCACTCTCCCGGCGGGAGAAGTGAGCCTTACGGCTGATAACCTGTGAACAATTTGATCCTTGTTCTGGATTATCCCTTTTGATGGTAGTACCGGTTATGCTGGTAGTGCAGGGCAACGTCACTGCATGGCGTTCGGAGAACGGTCTTTTTCCTCGCGCATGACTTGAGCCAAGTGATTGGCGGTCCATGCATAATTGTTTACATGCTCAGCATGTGCAATGGCTGTATTACCTGGTTCCCTTTCGCATATATATATATGTATGTATATATATATGTATATATATATATATGTATATATGTATGTATATATATATATATGTATATATGTATCCGGTTACACTATACACACATCATGTATGACGCATGGCCCCATGGAATACATACATATATACATATGTACACATATACATATATATATATATACATATAAGTATATATTCTACATAGTCGTAGCCTCGGGACTTCGTTTTCGTCGTAAAACAACGCTGGAAAGATATGGTGTTCTTTACATGGGAATGCATCATAAATAGGGATACGATAGTATTATAAATTACAATTCATATTTATATATATATATATATTGTTTAATATTAATATACATATACATATACATATATACTTTTAACATTATACAACTTAATTAGTGTACTGTATATACTGTATATAGAATTGGGAGACAATGGGGATGGGAAAACTGGAGATTTAAACTTAAAACGTGCATAATTCGGACCTGAGAAAGATGAGTTGAATATGGATAAAAACTTCTAATTGAAATCTAAACATATTTTGAAGTTTTCTAAAATGCGGGTACCCGTAGATCATCCATTTTAAGAGGATTTTGCATTATAAACCATCTACTTTAGGTTGTTTCCATGTATGGAAACCCCATTTGAACCTTAAAACTGCCACGAATGCGGATTTATGCAACTCTTCGATTAGTGATTAGTGATCCTATAAGAATTGTAGTTTTGGATTGATCATGGGCGTACTTGAGATTTCGGATGAAACCAACGAATTGTTTGTTTTTCAGGGGGCCTCAAATTTGCGGTAGAACTGTAAGAGGTTTCTTTGTTTTTTGGTAACAGAAGGGCAAATTGACAGGACACTCGGACACCTTTTTCCGCAAAACAAAAATCACAGAGTTTTCTTGTCAGTCTTCCTTCAAAACTGATTGCTATACCATGTGATCAGGCATACAGATCCCACAAACACCAGTCTGGCTCCATGTGTTTCAGGAAGGTATGATAGGAGCATTCAGGGTACACGCCCATGTTGCTCCATGTGGTCCCCCAAAGGTTCACATCTACATTAAACATATATTATATCCCCATTCAAATGGGCCAATATAAATCCTCTCAATGTCCCAACCAATCAATTCAGCAAAAATATTGCCACTTTCTTCCCCATCAAATCCTTGTATGTGTCCCTTCTTATGTGTCCTGGTTAAACCTACCCAAAAATAGCCTGAACAAACTATTCCAGTGGGTATATTGAATATATTCAGTAGAGCAGGGACCAAAACTAAGGGTCACAAAGGCGGTCATGAGCAAAAGTTATCGATTTAGATCCTTCGCTATATCGATTTACATGGTTTTGGGGCATGTCAAACAGTGGCTGTTGATTTGGAGGTCCATTTCCTTTGGTTTCCACAGAATCAACAATAGGGGCACTTCATGGTCAGCAGTCTGCTGTCCACTGTTTGTCTTCAAAGTGCGGAAGGAATTTCTCTCAGAACAGCTTGGTGTTTGCACTGTTGCGCGCCTTCTGCTTCTGCTGATTCTGTTCATCTCTTTGGGTCTTTAGATCAAAATTATATTCACTGGTAGGTTTCAAGGCCAAGCTGGACCACCCAAGTAAACGTTTCAAGGCATTGACACAAAATTGAAGTGCGCCACTCCAGGGATGGATTGGGTCTCTGGCTGCCCGGGGCCCCTTTTGGCAATTTTTCGTTATCGCTACGTTATCGATTTGGTTATCGAATGTTATCGATAGATTCATCTGGTAAAATCAGGAAACATGTGCAAGATTGTTTCTCAAGCACAAACAGCCTCTGCTTTCCGGAGCCTGTGTCGTGACAGGTTTGGGCAGCAAGTTCTGCGGTCAGAAGTGCGTTCTCTAGGCCTTTTGCGAGCACCTCTAGGCCTTTTGGGAGCCCCTGGATTCACATCCGACGAATACTAAAACAATGCATATGAGGTTACTATACAATCCCAAATGGCTTCGAAAAAACAACAACACCTTTCAACTTCACCATCAAATCACGTTATCGCTTTAAGTAGTTCACTATATCGCTTTCCATGGTTTGGGCAAGATTTTCCACCATATGACCTCTCATGTACAGGTCTCTGCATGAACCTTTTAGGTCTTTGCTCTTAGATATTTGAATATCCTGGTCACATATTGGATACCCTCCTGTAATCAAACATGGCTTGCTTTAAAAAAAACAATTATACATGATTTTCCCAGCTATAAACCAATATTTATTGGGCACCTCTTTGCTGATTCCCAAAGGGTATAACTGTATAACCCGCAAAATATTCCATCAGTATCCATGATTATCAATGATTCACAATTTTATCACCATGAATCACCATTATCCCCACTCTCCTATTTTGGGAAGCCCGCTTTTGGAAAGTCTTCCATCCCAAGCCGCTGTTGTTCGATGCGTCCGAGCTATGAGACCAGCCCCGTCTCAGTCCCGGCAGCGCCGCCAGCGCCAAGGCCGACTGCGCCGGCGGCGCGGGCCCCGGCAACGGCGCCGGCAACGGTGGTTGCACCGGGGCCTGCGCCACGGAGTCGCGGATGGCGTCCGTGGCGGTGTCCCCCGCCAAGGGTTTGACGTCGGTGAAGTCACGCAAACCTGGGGTCTATGGGATCTATGGCTCCCCGGAGGCGCCATTGGCTGTGTTATGATGCTTTGATGATTTGTTGGGTAAAGGCCGGTGCACTGGACCAGTTGGGGTCCAACGAATTGGCTGATTCTCATATGTGTTTTCTGGACAAAAATGGGTGGTTTTCCACCGTTTTCGGTCGAATCTTCCGAACTCTCGACTTCCAGCCGATTTCCCATGTCTGATGTAGCTCATGTTTCTTTTTAAAAAAAATGTAATTATATTTATGTATGTCCCATGTCATTTATGATTTCTGATCTAGTTCTTTTTGCGGAAATCAAAAATCACTGCAAATCCCCACCTAAAAGGTGGCACTTCTGGCCATTCATCTTGGTATACTTCACCTTGCGGCTTGGTCGCTGCGGATGTCTTGCATGGTCATGTGGGGAAGCGCCTTGTCATGTCTTTGTAATGTTGTTGATTGGGGTGACCACATGTTAGATATGTATAGCGATATATATATATATATATGGCAAATGCCTGGGCTTCGCCCCGAACCGCAACGACGATGGGCAACACATCATCATCATCATCATCACCACCATCATCATCATCATCATCATCAATTGAATGTAGATTCAAATATTCCCTAATACCTTTGTTGATCTTCCCAATTGAATGTAAAGTTTAACGGGGGTGGAATTTTAATATTCCCTAATACCTTTGTTGATCTTCCCAATTGAATGTAAAGTTTAACGGGGGTAGGATTTTAATATTCCCTAATACCTTTGTTGGTCTTCACAATGGAATGTAGAGTTTAAAGGGGGTCGGATTCCAATATTCCCTGATATCTTTGTTGATCTTCCCAATTGAATGTAAAGTTGCAACAAAAATTGATTGGGAATGGGAACCCTCTATGCTGCAACGCTGGGGCAAAGCCCAGGCGTTGTGCGTGTATAGTTATATATACATACATATGTATAGGCCAAACATGTAAAAGAACAACAAAAGAAACCTGTTTTGGGTCCAGATAATCTTGCGAAATAAAGACCTTGCGAAGAATTGGGGAGATGTGTGACTATATCTCCGTTGTTAGCTAGTCAGTTTGCTGGTTGGTTCGTTTCTCAGTTCGTTTGTGTATGAATTACTTACTTTATAAGAAGGCAAGTGCATGTAGCTAGTTTACGTGTCGAATCCGCATCATCTCCCACTTCCTGGATACCCCATGTTGTGATTCAGCTTGACTCAACAGCCGGCCTTGATAGGGTTTCAACCACATTTCTCACTAGATGCTCTGAAAAAAAAAAAACTTGTCGCTTGGCTGGGCATATACTCCCCGATATTAAAGTTTAAAGCCAGAAATCAACCTATTAACATACCAGACCAAGGCTTAGTTGGCAATGGATCCAAACCCGCATAGCCTGCTATTCTCAAGATTTAGCTGGTGATTCAGGATCTTCATCAACCCACATCCGGAAAAAAATGATTGCTCATCCATACACAAATCAACAGGAGTTGGGAAAATCAGTCAAACAGAATGGGATAATTATTGAGCAATGAAAACTAACTTGAAATCAGGTGATTTTGGGACAGTTCCCTTACGTCGTGAGGTCTGGTTGCACTCGTATAATTCATACAAAAAAAAAAAAAAAACGGAGAATTCTGAGTTTGTTGGGATCATGAAAAAAAGATTAAAAACAATACGTCCATCATCAATCATATCATCAGTCATGAATCAACCGGTTTTTATTAACATTCATAATTGACTATGTTGATTACTAACATTGAATCATGAACCCTGTTAGTTTAAGCGCCGTTTTTCACCAAGGGAAATCCACGGACCTGAAAGACTTCGGTGCGGAACCTCGGTCCCGGTGGATGCGGTGGTGTTTTCAAACATCGGTTGTTTTCGGTTTAGAAATATGCAGAAACATCGATTTCTAGATGATTAGCGTTTCTGAAAATAGAAATTTGGAAAAATGATCTTTGAAACTATTTTTGGTTCAGAGATGATCGTCCTTAAAATAAAATGTCTGTTTTACCCAACCAAAGAAACATCACGAATCATCACGGTGTTTTCTTTCTTGTGCATATGTCACACAGAAAACGTCAGCCATGTTTCATGAAGATTGGTGAAGATTTCTTGTGCAAGATGCATTTCACCCAGAATAGAAACACCTGTCTACGGTGTTCAGGAATTGTTGCACAACATAATATGTTCTTGCCGAGAAAGTTGATCTTGCTTATAAAGAACAATGTTTGGATGGCAATAATGTTGATTTTGCGGTTCACATACGACGGCAAAGGATATGATTGATTTCACCATCCTTTAAGCCACTTGTTCATTTGTAATTTCAATCCCATTTACAATCTCATTTACTATCTCAATACGTTTATCCCTGTATATCTATATATTGACGTGTGTTATATACAAGGGACCTCGTGTATTTATATATATATATACTACCAAATATCTATATAGATATATGTAGATATATATATATATATATATGTATCCACATATCTTTATATGTTTGTATCTACAATCTACAAATCTAAATATCTATATACCAACATTTATATATATATATATATGTAGATGTATCTTCTCATCCATTCCACCAAGGCACTTGCTGGAGTAGCTATCCACCAGCCTGGTATGAAACGCAATGGCCCGCGCATCTTGCTGTAGCAGCTCTGTGGCCCTTCGCTGGTCGCGGCTGCTGATGAAGTCACTGAACTTGCGGCCCTTGAGACTGGCACCAGGGCGACCCAACCTGAAACAAGTTGGGCATTTGGATCTTTAGCAGAGCGATAGGTTCTATAGGTTTTTGAATGGAATTCATCGAAATTCATCGAAGTTCATGGTCAATTGATGCCACATGATGTCAATTGAACCGGTTTTTTGTTGTCCTGGGGGTGCGCAATGCTGGTTCTTAGGTGGGTTTATAATCGGATTAGGTGAAAAAATAACAGGCTTGCGGTTTGCCAGCCAAATGGAATGAAAATTGAGGGTACCCAACCCCCCGAGAGGGAAACAGGGTTTTTAAAAAAAAACGCCAAACAAAAATAATTATTATCCCGGCAAGAGACCCCAAACAATGTGGGGGAGTGAGAGGATAATGTATGATAATGTTGATGCTGATGGTGATGACGATGACGATGGCGATTATGATGATGATGATGATGATGATGATGATGATGATGATGATGATGATGATGTTGCGGACGATGATGTTGAGGATGATGATGTTGAAAATGATGAGGTGGAGGATGACAATGTGGAGGATGATGAGGTGGAGGATGATACTGTGGAGGATGATGATATTGAGGATGATGATGTTGAGGAGGATGAGGATGAGGATGATACTGCGGAAGATGAAGTGGAGGATGATAAGATGGAGGATGGTGAAGTTGAGAAGGAGGAGGCGGAGGAGGAGGAGGAGGAGGATGACGATGATGTTGATGTTGAGGATGATAATGTTGAGGAGGAATACGAACAGGATGATAATGTTGATGTTGCGGAAGATGAGGTGGAGGTTGATGATGTCGAGAAGGAGGGGGATGATGATGTTGAGGATGATGATGTTGAGGAGGGTGATGAAAAGGACGATAATGTTGATGTTGCGGAAGATGAGGTGGATTGAGGATGATGAGAGGAAGATGATGGTGTTGAAAATGATGATGTGGAGAAGAACGAAGAGGATAATGTTGAGGATGATGATGTGGAGGAGGAGGAGGAGGAGGAGAACCGACCCCAAGACAGGGACGCACACTTTGTGCGAGCCTGCGCAGTCGAAATGCACTTCAACATTACTTTATATGGAAATTTACAGGTGAAATGCCGCAGACCAACCCTTTGTGCGAGCCTGCGCAGTCAAAATGCACTTCAATTTATAATATATACGGAAATGTGCAGGTAAAATGCCTGCCGCAGACCAAACCCGCGGCGCAGACTTTGCGCGAGCCTGCGCAGTCGAAACACATGTCAACATTTCACAAGAGCCACTTTTTACGGAAATTTAAAGGAAAAATGCCGGCGTCCAGCTGGAGCACCCTGATCAAGCACCGGCCTTTACACCTACCGTAAGAACCCCTCAGTGTGGACACACTGTTTGGGGGAGTTTAATGGAAATTGAGCCTGTTCTTTTTCTGGGGGAAGTACTCCAACAGAAGTGGACAAATAAATCCACAAAAATAACAACAAAAATTTTAGATTCGCCGAGAACAATTGGGGCTTAAACAACAAAATGCAGGGCCTGCGCAGGGACAGGTTGGATTTCACATAATTTCAGATGATCTAACTCACAAGTTTGCAGATTTAAACAAGAAAGTGGCGGGTTTTAACCAACGAAACGTGTGATTGAAATATTTTGGGTTGACCAAACAGATTTCAAGAAGTGATTTGCAAGACATAAGGTGTCCACAACCAGAATTGGACAGTGAAAAAAACTAACAAGGTGGATTTCAATAGCAAATGGAACCCACAGAAGTAGGACATTTAATTAGATATCAACAGCAAATCTGGGAAGTTTGCCAACAATCAAAATATTGGACCTCTGGCTTCCAGATCCATAGTTGTCCCTTTTTCCCGAATGCGTAGCAAGGGTTCCCGTTTCACTCTGGGGGTCTGGGGGCTGAGGGTGTGTTCGCTCGACGTTGCGTTTGTGGTCGCAACCGTTCGCAACCGTTCGCAACCGTTCGCGTGAGGACCGTATGGCCGTGCCTATGGGAAGTTTTACAGAGGTGGTCCTTTTTGGAGGTTTCAGACGTCTCGTTGCTTCGTTTCGCGTGGCAGGTGTGGCACTTCGTGACATTCAGACGTGTTCTGCAACGTGTCGAAAGTCGTTTGGCGTGGCAGGCGCAATACTTTTGCGACGTTTTCAGAAGATGTGTTGCAGTTTTCGTGGCAGGCGCAGCACTTTGGACGCGTCCATCGTCATTTTTCGTGGCAGGCGCAGCACTTTAGACGCGTCCTGTGGCGTGTTTTTTGTAAATCGCATTGGCAGGGCTGCGTCAAGTGGTGACAAGGTGCAAATTCCGTGGCAGGCGTGGCATTTTCTGACATGTGCTGAAAATTGACGGAAGCCTCGCACGAAACATCGATTTTGATGTTGCCAATTTTCGGGTTCTAAGGAAAACTCGTAGGAAAACGTCGATTTTGAAGCTGCAAAGTGTGAAAATTTGAGGAAGTCTCGCACGAAATGCTTGTTTTGGTGCTCCCACCTGTCTCTTCTCGCGTGTCTGGTTTTCCCGTGGCCTCGCCGTGTCTATGGGGGAAGCTGCAAAACGTGTCCTTTTGTCATGTTGCCAACTGTGAAAATTGCCGGAAGTCTCGCACAAAATGCTAGTTTTTCTGCATCCACGTGTCTTGTCTCGAGTCGCTTGTTTTCCTGTGGCGTCGCCGTGTCTATGGGGGAAGCTGGAAAACCTGTCCTTTTCGAATGTCTCCAAGCAAGTTGTCATGTCGTTTTGCCTGGCAGGCGTGGCACTTTGTGACATTCCAACCTGTTTGATGATGTTCACAAAATTTCAAAATTGGAGGACGTCTCGTACGAAATGCTGGTTTTTCTGCATCCACATGTCTTATCTCGAGTCGCTGGTTTTCCTGTGGCGTCGCCGTGTCTATGGGGGAAGCTGGAAAACCTCTCCTATTCGAATGTGTCCAAGCAGGTTGTCATGTCGTTTTGCGTGGCAGGCGTGGCACTTTGTGACATTCCAACCTGTTTGAAAATGTGTCGAAAGTGTAAAAATTGGAAGAAGACTCGCACGAAATGCTCGTTTTTTTGCACCCACGTGTCTCGTCTCGAGTCTCTGGTTTTCCTGTGGCGTCGCCGTGTCTATGGGGGAAGCTCCGCACTCCACACTCTACACTTTACACTCCACACTCCACATACACTTTAGACTCCACACTCTACACTTTACACTCCGCGCTTTACACTTTGCACTTTCCTCCTCAATCCTCACCTGAGACTTTACACTCCACACTCCACACTTTACACTACACTCTACACTTTCCACTCCTCACTCCTCACTCTACACTTTACACTCCACACTCCACACTCTACACTTTACACTCCACACTCCACACTTTACACTACACACTCCTTACTTTACACTCCACACTCCTTACTTTACACTCCACACTTCACACTTTCCACTCCACACTCCGCACTCCACGACTTTACACTCCACACTCCGCACGTTACACTCTACACTCCACACTTTACAATCGTCACTTTACACTCTACACTCCACACTCTACACTTTACACTCTACACTTTACACTCTACACTTCACACTCCACACTCTACACTTTACACTCTACACTCCACACTTTACATTTTACACTCCACGCTCCACACTCCACTCTACACACCACACTCTACACTTTCCCCTCCACATTTCGCACTCCACACTTTACATTCCTCACTCCACACTCCACACTTTACACTCCACACTCTACACTCCATACTCCCCACTTTACACTCCACACTCCACACTCTACACTTTCCACTCCACACTCCGCACTCCACACTCCACACTCTACACACCACACTCTACACTTTCCACTCCAGACTCCACACTCTACACTTTACGCTCCACACGGCACACTTTACACTTCACACTTTACACTCCACACTCCACACTTTACACTCCTCACTCCACACTCCACAGTTTACACTCCACACTCCACACTTTACACTCCTCACTCCACACTTTACACTCCTCACTCCACACTTTACACTCCACACTTCACACTCCACACTTTGCACTCCATACTCCACACTCTACACTTTACACTCCGCACTCCACACTTTACACTCCTCACTCCACACTTTACACTCCACACTTTACTCTCCACACTCTACACTTTACACTCCACACTTTACACCCCATACTCCACACTCTACACTTTACACTCTACACTATACACTCTACACTCCACACTTTACACTTTACACTCCACCCTTTCCACTTTACTCTCCTCACTCCACACTTTACACTCCACACTCCATACTCTACACTTTACACTCCATACTCCACACTCTACACTTTACACTCCGCATTCTACACGTTACACACTCTACACTCCCCACTCCACACTTTACACTCCACACTCCTTACTTCACACTCCACACTCCACACTCTACACTTTCCACTCCACACTGCAGACTGGTAACAAGGGAAACATGTACAAGACTGTTCAAATAAACTATTACAGAAAGGTATTGTGCGTGACTGCATAACCATGTGTTTTGACATCTGTACCATTAACATACGTGTGAGCATTCGGGTTCGTGGGCTTCATCTTGTTAATTTCCCAGCAAAAATACGAAGTTTCATATGGAAACCACTGTGAAATGCTACGAGTACGGCCCCGCTCGACATATTCCAAGCATTTCCAAGGCCCCGAGATGGTCCGGAAAAATGGGCCAAGGTGCAGCATGGTGGTCAAGTTGGGGTTGTCCTCCACCAGCCTCAGCTCAGTATCCAGTTCCAAGACAGCATCGCAGGTGAGCTGCAAGAGCGCGTCGGCGGCATTCCTGGGAAATACCAAGGCTTGGACCAGACGTGGGAGGGAGGCAGCTTGGAAAATGTGTCTCTTTTACAAAAGAAATTGCATTACATTACATTGCATTGCATTACATTACATTACATTACCTTACACACCTGCCTACATCCCACCCTCCTGCATACCTGCATACCTACCTACCTACCTTGCTATATACCTACGTAGCTACCTACCTACGTAGCTACCTGGCTACGTAGCTACCTAGCTACCTATTTACCTAGCTACCTAGCTACCTAGCTACTTAGCTGCCTAGCTACCTATCTACCTAGCTACCTAGCTACATGCCTACATACTTATATACTTACATACTTATATACTATACATACATTTCTACATACGTACCTACATACTTACATACATTCCTACATACGTAGGCACATACATACCTACATACATACCTATATACATGATTATACATACCTATATACATCATTATACATCATATCACATCACATCACATTGCATTACATCACAGCACATGACATTACACTACATACTGCGTTACATCGCATAAAGATACATTACATTACATCACGCTACATTCCATACACACACAAAGTGAGAGGGGGAGAAAGACATATCACATCTACACATTTGCAGCTTGTTGCATAGTACCCTCTGGTAAACTAACGTTGTTTGCTATTGAAAATGGTGATTTAGTTCGTGGATTTACCCATGAATAGCATGGTGGATCTTTCCAGTTCGTTATATAAACGTTTACCTTAACTCCCATTAAATCCCATTAATATCCCATTAAATCCCATTAAATCCCATTAAACCACCATTAAACCATCATTAAAGTCTGCATTTGTATTGCAATTCTATGCATGTGACCAACGCTTGCACATTGGTGGGATCAACAGTACTTCTTGAGAGGATTCACCCTTGGTGCCTTGGTGCACGCCGCCAAGAATTCTTCCTATCAAAACAACGGTTCTCGATGGTTCTCGGATATATTGTGTTTATCTATGTTTATCTTCTATCATATCATCTTACTGCATTCACACTAGCCTTCGGACTAGGGTTTATCCTCCTGATAAAGTGAACGTGCACATACGACTCTATTGTAGTATCACTTCCGGCGTAAAAAGGGTCACGAGCGATCCAGAAGAGGGTCACAAGAGTTCGCTTGTGACCCTTGGGGTCACAGGCGATCCAGCCGCTGGTCATGAGCTAAGCCCGACTCGTTTGTGGGACTACCCCAGTCACTCTTGTCTACAGTAAGTGAGGCAATGCCCCACTCGGTGCTAAGTAAGTAGCAAGGGTAGCTGTTCAAAAATTGGATGAATTGCTAATTATCAGAATCAACCAGTTTCAAACCGGGTTTTTTCCTACACATCCCGACATGGAAACCGCCAGGCATCATTTGGATCCTGCTGTCCCGTTCGCGAATCTTGGACTCGGCCTCTTGTAACATCAAGGTATCTGTGAGTTGAAACACGAGCAGTGCGATAGGAATGTGCCAGAAGCCGAAGAGCGTCAAGAGAATGGGGTACTGCATGGCCTTCCAGGTCGTTCGGCTCCACAAGCCCTGTAAAACACTGAAAAAAGGTGAAAAATTGCTGTGGTTGTTGGGTTTATACTACATTTCCATGCATGAAATATATCATTAAATATATCATTGAACCCTGTCGGCAAAGTCGGCCTTGTGGAACCTCGGTCATTGACGGCTTCCTTGTGATCCCTAGTTTGGGGTGGTGACGTGCCCACGTTCCAAAATTCCATGGTCCAAACAATGTCCACCCATCAATTGCTAAGGTTTAACCTACACTACCCATCCATGGAAGTTGAACCCATCCTGAAGCTACCACCAGTCGGTTTCACCAGGAGAAATACTCAAATCAAGTAGTTGCTGTTACCGCATCATTGTTGCTGACATCACCAGTTCAGTTTGCAAAAATTCCTCAATTCTTGGATACAACTAGCGTTTTCATTGCTAGTTCTTCATCCGAGTCCTCCGGCCAAAAAAGGCGGTGGATCAACAAAAGGCGGTGGGTCAACAGCTCAGATGATCATCACGAGCTCCAAACATTCCGATCTATATGAGGGTCATTTCGGTCAATTCAAAAACAGTTAAGCTAGTCAATGGTAGTCAATTCATACTAAAAACATACAACCGGTACCGGAATCAAAATCACCCCCATTGTATCGACCATTGATGGTCTAAGTATAACAATGACCAATTTGCCCACGTGTTTCTCAAATCATCAACCCATTAAATTGGATGGCTAGTTTCTTATACTCTCAAAAAGGATTGATGATGCCGATGATGCTTGAGGTTTCGAAGCAATTGGGTCGAGTCATCCCTCAAAATGGTTGGATGGTCAAAAAAGCTGCCGAAACATGTCATCTGGAACCAGGATGGTCATGTGGCTAATGCCAACAAAAAAATCCCCCAATCCCAATCATCATGTTTTTTTTGATTGGTGATGATTGAGATAGGTTTACCATGCGTAAAAAGGGTGGTAAAAATATGACGTCTTCTCTCAGCATCAACCTTTTGGGAGCAGCTGCTGCCTCCTCCGTCCATGCACGGCAGGCGACGAGAAGCCAAATGAAGGTCTGACACGTGACAACCTGCAGGAAATCTCTTGCTTGAATTCGCTTATAACTGTTGGACTAATGTATATATCTATAGAGTTCATATGCTTTGTATCTAGACGCAATCATTGTTGGTTCTGTTGGATGTGCAGTGGATAATGAATTCTCTTATGCAAACGGGGTATACCTCCAAAATTATAGTCATGTAATGGGGATCATGAGGAATCACCCATGGATTTGGGGGTGCACTATTTTCAGGCAAACCCATATCCATTTGGATTGACGTGTGTTAAATTCAGAAGAGTAACCCAGCTTTGTAAACCAACAGCCGGTCCCAGGGTTCCAGGTTTCCGGATTTGCCAGCAAACCAAACAATCGTTGCTGCTGGGAATTAAATGAACTATGATATATATATATATATATTGAATTTATGTTGGAGACATCATGATATATGGTTTGATGAATCATGTATGATGGATTCATGCTGCATAACTGGATAAACTAGAGATGACTAGAGGTGATTTCACGGATATTCCATCCACAGATGCCACAGATGGGTGAAACTTCGCCAAGGTGCCACGACGGAATTTAGGGCAAAGGCCGCGGAGGGCAAAGAACACATCACGAACGCAGTACCGGCCACCACCAATTCCTCGATCGCTCCTGGCACTTGATCGGGAAGAAACTCAGAGAGTTGTACAATAAACCCGAACCTAAAAATATGTTGAACTCACTGTGGTTTTCCCCAAAAGAGGATGAACTAAATAGTTAAGGTCAAGATCAAGTTTGAATCCAAGGTTTTGTGGTGAAACTTCCACGTCGGCGTGACTGCCCGTCTAGATCGGTGCGTCCGAAAAGGGGTAGAGGAGAGTTTCCAAAGGATGGGATGGGGGGGATCAAAATATGGTTGAATCCTGGTACCCACTACAGTTCATGGCCATCAAACTTGCAATGTTTGATATGTGTTGAAGGCTTAAGGGAAAGACTGACGCATTAAAATGCGAAAAAAAACGTAAAAAAAAACTGCAAAAACAAAAGAACACACACACACACACTTGCTCAGAATTGCTAATCGAATTGTCAAGTTGGAATATATCTTACGCGCAAAACAGAGCGGCAGTAAACCTGACAGGAAAAAGAAAGTGCAGGCAAGATTTGAACTTCCATCGTCGATAGTTCCATTGCCGCACAAATGATGTACAACCATAACCACCATCACGCTGAAGGAGAATTGGAAGCTAAACCTTCCCTTTCTCGTATCAGATTGCGACAGCAGTGCCGTAAAAAACTGAAAACATCGACATGCTGGTTCTTGGCTTAGCCGATCGCCATTCACGAAAAATTGGACACCTGCGTGAAAGCTGACGTTGAAATCGCAGGTACGCTGGGTCGATCAGACCCAGTATCCGATGATCGGGATAGCCTTGTTGAGTGCAGTCCCACAATCATGCCGCACTCCCCTGCATGAAACTTAGAAATGAATAACGTCGAGACTTGTTCATCAAGAAGTCCACAGGTACAAGTTTTACATCCTTTGAAATGTTACACACACACACAAATAACTCACATGTACCCCTGTCTACTATCCCCCAAAAAGGGTAGATTCCCAAAACCTGGGTGTTGGAGCAACATCATATAATTATCTACTTTTTACAGTCACATACATATTATATATCTAAACATGCATATAATATCTATGTATGTATGTATGTATGTATGTATGTATGTATGCGTGTATGCGTATGTATGCGTATGTATGCGTATGTATGTATGTATGTATGTATGTATGTATGTATGTATGTATGTATGCATGCATGCATGTATGCATGTATGACATGCACATGTATGTATGTATACATCTCAAAGTGACAACATGATTCTTCGTACTACTCTCGCCGCCCTCTTCTCTCTTTACACCTTCTGCCTTCCAGTCTTTCCGGTTCACCTGCTATCCTCAGGTTTGCCTTGGATCCGTCACTATGTGACATGCGCATAGCCCCGTCCACGTCTGGTCAGAGCTGCCTGGGGCTGGAACTTGCTTTTACAGGTATCACCCATCGCCTAGCAAAAGGAAATGTGATTAATCTCCTGGTCACCCCAGGAGAGTATCCCCTGAAAGAAGCTATGCGCTCGCCTGCCCAGCAGGCACCCTCTCCTAGGGCTTCTCCATGGGAGGCCGGCTCTTAGGGTTGGGCGGGAGGGGAAAGAAAAGCAATGAATGCTATTTTGGTTCAACTCCAACTTGAGCCAAAATGATAGCATGCATTGGCTCACTTAAAGATGATACATGCACACCCAAAGCCTGCCAAGCTCAATGCATGAATATATATATATACAGATGCACATATACATGAACATATGCATATACATGTGCATATACATATACATATCCATATAATTATGCATATACATATACATATGCATATACATATACCTCTACCTATGCATATACATATACATATACATATACCTATGCCTATACCTATGCATATACATAAACATGAACATATACAGTACGTATACGTATACGTATGCATATGCATATACCTATGCATATACAAAATTATATGCCTTCGAATTGCTCAAAAAACAAATCGTATCGCTATTTGGGGGTTCGCTATCACCAACCATGAATTTGTACTCATGAAGATGGAGAACAAGTATGTGTAAGGAAATGAAGAGGAAAGGAGGTGGAAAGGAAAAGCAAAGGAAGAAGAGAGGAAGAGGAAATCAAAAAGGGAGAGGAAGCGGAAACAAAGCCGAAAGAAATAAAAAAGAAAGAGGAAAGAAAGAGGAAAGAAAGAGGAAAGAGGAATCAGCAACACGAGAAAAGGGTCTATCTGTGGTCTGAGGCAGCTTTTTGAGCGAATGGGTTTGCTAAGGTATCGCTAGGGGTATCACCAAAAAGTTCGTTGATTCCACATCTCCGGTGGTTGATTTTCCATGAAGAAACAAATCACCTTAAGCTAATCCCCAGATGGAAAAGCAAACTCACATCCACGGGTGCGTCTGCAAATCCTCCAAAGAGCACCTTTAAGGTGAAAAATGATGATTAATTAACAGACGATTTTGAGATTTTGAGGGGTTCCCATACTTTTCAGGCCCCATACCTTTGGTGATTCTTTTTTGAGCACTAAAGTCGCCAGCCGGCACCTGGTTGAAAGGTCCAGGGCGACAAAATCATGGCCACGAAGAGTTGACACGTGATGTAGTTCACATCCAGCGAGAAGTGAAAGCGCCGCAAAATCCGCGGGAAGTGCGTAGGGAGCAGCATCAGGGCCAGGAAAATCACCACGAACCAATGACCTGCAGGATGGTTTTGATGAACCCGACAGTTGAGCTATGTTGAGCTACTTAGTTCAACCAACTGAACTAATCAAGGGCTGAAAATTTTTACAGCAAGATCAGCAGTTCCACGGAGTGAATGGATTATGGATTAGAGCCGTAAAATCATCGACATATCAGGCCCGCAAAGCCTAAGAAAAGGTTCGATTTTCGTTTTTTTTTCGAAACATGCGAACCCTGCGAATATCCTCATTGGGATCCTTGGTAATGTCCACCTCGAGGCTCCCATTTTCTGGCCATCACTAAGATCAGGTTACCATGGGATGGGCGCAACCAAATGTTCCAAGTTTTATGACAACCCCATGTTCAACGCCAAAATATAGCATAGGCGGTTTTTCAACGGGTAGACACTGGAAAAATAAAGCTACTGGGAAAAAAAAAAAACGGTTCACCCCTACTGTCCACACTGGAAAAAAACTTAAGACACTGGAAAAAAAAACTGAAGAATCTGTACTTTGAACATGTTTTGCAGCTGAAATCGCTCATTTGTACAATATTTGCAGGGTTTGGAACTTAAACATGCAATTTGCAGGGGATTTAAAGCGTTTCGGCCTTGAATCTTTGAGCTTTATTTGCAGCTGTACAATATTTGCGGGTTTTAGAACTTAAATATGCTATTTGCATGGTATTTAAAGCGTTTTGGCCTTGAATCCCTTGTTTGCACCGTGCTCACAGCATCTTGGAGCCAGCATCTTTACTACGCAGGGGATTATCTTCAGTATTTCGTGGTATTTGCAACATATTGTCCAAAGTTAGTGTTAGGATCTATTTCAGGTTGGTTTACTTTTTGGGGGGGGATTATTTCTGGTTGATTTTAGGCTTTCCGCACGGTTAGTTTGGGCGTGTGTGTTTTTTATTGTTTTACAGTTTAGATTTGGTTGCTTTAGGTTTTCTTTAGGGTTTCTTTTAAAGTTGACTTCGGCTTGTGTTATATAGTGTTGATTTGGGGTTGGTTTGGTGTTTGTTTGGTGTCAATTCAAAGTTGTTGTAGTGCGAATTTAGTGCTGGTTTGGTGATTCTATAAGGTCTATTGAGTGTTGGTTTAGACTTTGTTTAGGGGTAGATTTTAAGTTTATTTTGGTATTTGTTGTGTAGTGCATTGCATGGGTTTATTTAGTGCTGGTTTAGGGCTTATTTTGTGGTTTAATTACGTAGGTTTCGTTGATGGTTTATTTGGGTTGCATTATTTAAGATTTAGATTGGGTTTATTTATGGTTGTTTTGGTGTTTTTTATGTTTACGTTTGTGTTATATAGTGCCGATTTATGGTTGGTTTGGTCTTTGTTTGATTGTGCTTTAAGGTTTACTTAGTTTTGGTTCAGGTTTTTAGGTGTCATTTTACGGCTTAGTTGGAATTGTTTGGATGTTGTTTGGTGCTTCTTTCAGTTCGTTTTATGGATGTTTACGTAGCACGGTTGGTTTAGGTTTCAAGAGGACCCAGGGACCAGCGGACCAGGGAGACCAGAGGACCAGGGGGAACCTTAAATTATTGTTCCAGTAATTTTATTGTTTTTCCAGTATCATCCCTTTTTCAACGCCCAAAAAACGACTAGGATAGCATTATTGCCATGGTCAAAACATGCTGAAGCCCTATTGATGGGGGGATGACCCTCCACTGACTTTTATGGGAAAATAAATCATGTTTTGACAGGAAGCATTGAGTCAATTCACGCCACGACATCATTCCACGTGTCTTGGGGGTATGAAGTGATAATTCTTGTTTTGACCATAGCACATGTGGGAAGTGCGGAGGCTTAACTTATTTAGCTGGTTTAGCCAAATTTTACCTTGGATGATTTACTGCTTTCTTGCTAAATGGTTTCAGTGTCGGTTTGGGGTGTATATGTATAAATATATATATATATACATTTATAAAAATAATTGATGTTTTACTGGTTGTCTGCATGATAGCTGCAGTATACTGCCAAGAAACAAAAACGCAGAAAAACAAGAGACCGAAAACAACAAAAACAAAAACAAAACACAAAAACTCAGAAACGCCATCCGTATTGTACGTCTAATATCTTCTCGTGCTCTATTTTTTGGGGCAACATTGCAATTGTACTACATTGTAATTATGCATGGCCTGTAGTTTGTAATTAAGAAATTTGTCTGAGAAACCCACCATTTATTTCACCATAAATTCATAATAAATCACCATCCCACCAGGTAGACATCGACCTGAGGCATTCATCAGCAACTGATTTCTCTTCGTCCAGTAGTTGACCACGATCCAAGCAGTCCAGCAGGTACTCCAAAGTCGTGCCTCAAATCCGAAGGCCAAGGAGCTGACTGAAAGAATCGAATAAAAACGCGAGCATGGACTTTGACGCTACAGCTGAAATATGTGTTTTCCCCTGGAAAAAAACACGCAGACCCCGACATTTGCCCAAGAACAGAACCGCGTGAAAACCAAAATGATTTTTTAACGACCTCAAACAAAAGAGATGAAACTGTGTTGCATCGCGGCTTTGCAAGAGAACTATATATACCGCAATCAGGTGTTCTTTTAGGGTTTAAATAAGATATCAAATTTCCCACCCATGAAACAATTAACCATACCGCACGTAGGGTCTTTCTTAGGGTTTACACAAGATATAAAATCTCCCGCCCCCATACCGCAGTAGGGTTTCTCGTGGGGTTTACGTAAGATATAAAATCTCCCATCCCCATGGAACAATTCAGCATATCATATTCATCTTCATCTTCATCACCATCATCATCACATTCATCATGGTTTGCCCGGACGCTCATTGGGAGTCCGGGCAAACCTCAGGGTCTTGAGAGAAATATAAACAGATGCTTCCAAGTCCTGGTAGTGGATATCTTCATGATTTAGGTCCCAAACATTTGGTCACTGATCTCGTTTTAGGGTCTAGATTCGTGGGGTTTACATCAGCAAAGTAAGATGTCTCAAAGCAGCCTCAATTGAGACATTTTGAACACCCTCCAAGGTCGACAATGCCATATCGTGTTTCCAAAAAATGTTCAGAATTGCTCGACATGGCTCAAACTTGCCCGACAAAAATGCTCAAAATTGCTCGAAATGACCCAAGCCGGCCCGAAAAAACTGCTCAAAATTGCTCAAACTGTCTCAAAAGGTTTCAAATTGTCTCAAAATGGGCCAACAAGTGTCTAAAGGGGTGATGTGCTTGCATATACAGGTGCGAGAGTTGTCATTACTTGGCATTGCTGTTGCTGGTGTCTTTCGTTGCATTGGCTTGAGGTCAGTGTCAATTGCGCCGAGGTCAATTTCAACTCAGAGGGATCACTTGTCATTAGATTTGCTGCCATAGGTTCAACTAACGGCCTATCCCGCAAAATCATCATTGCTTTGATAGTGCGGTTTGGGAAACATGCACAGAGTACCACTGCACCCCCACTAAGGTCTTTTTAAAGTTTTCACAGTCGTTGAGACGTCCTCCGACTGTTGCAACTTGGCTCAAGGCTCAAGTGCCAATCAACTGACTGGCTCAATTTACCGAGCCCAACTTGGAGTGAAAAGGTGCACTTGCATCTGCCTCTTGGTGGGGACCTCCGGGAAGGGTCTCGGTCATAGTCTGAAACCCGTGGGTTATGAGCCCAACCCCAACGCTGCCTTGAAGCAATGTCGAGCAGCGACTTCACTCAGCGTCGTCGACAAGAACGCCAAGTTCAAGCGGCTGCTCATGCTGAAGAAGTACAACATGGGACCCATGGACATGGAAAAGAAGAACGCGCGGAAACGGCAGACCAAATGCTGGACCGGCTTCTGGAGGAGATGGACGCACCTGGACAAGCACATGGGGAAAGAACAGGGACAAGATCATCAGACTCAACCCGAAGATCACTGATGGATGGGGAAGTTGGAGAAGGTGTGATGGCACTGACCGGTGCTGGGGGAAGTGGAGCCCTAGTGCAGGTTGCGGCGGTCCGGGCTGGAGCGGGCGAACGAATCGCCCAGAATCCGGCTGTTGCGGAAGAAGTCGCAAGACCAGTGTCCTTACCGCCTGAAGAACCTCCTGGACTTGAAGTGGTACGAGGAAATGGGAATGGTGGTCTGTTGTCTGGTTTGACCCCAGGTGTGAGTAGTCTAACTCTTTCGGGAGTGCCTATGACACAAACACCAGTAGTTGCCCGGATGTCTGAGGGATTTCGTGAACCACCTGTTGTGGGTAATCGAGAAGAAGGACAGGGTGGAAAACACCAAAGCTCAACTGAAGTGGGTGGAGGTGCGGCTGCTGTTGTGGAAACCGTTGCTCTTTTGGAGCGACCGGGACGTTCACCTGTTGAGTCTCCTGAAGATGCACGCGTCAAACAATCGGTGCCAGCGGCACCAACAGGCTCACCTGTGATCTACCAGCCAGCGGGAGCACCTGTGGTGTATACTGCAACTGGTGGAACACAGGGTTCGCAAGTAGCTGGGATGTCCCAGCAATCCATGTGTGCTGGAGTGCCACCTACGGGAATGATGCCTCAGTGGGGAACGGCGGTTGTGGATCCTGGGATTGTAACCGGGGTCATGGCTGCAGAGGAAACGAATCCATGGAGTGCTGCCAAGCGAGTGGAAGCTCTAATGAGCAGTCCACAAACTCCAGTGAAAGAGCTGACTTATCCCATAGTGTCGCAAGACCTGATTGATCAGGCGGACGCGAGGGAGAAGGAAAAGTATGAGGAGTTGAAACAGCAAATGATGGAATTCTTTCAACGGGGCAAGACCGAGATCCAACAAGATCGAGAAAATTGGTTAGCCACGCGGGAAGAGAAACGTGCCCTGGAACGGGTCCGAGAAGCCGGAGGAGGTCACAAGGGCTCTCAGTCAAGTGGGGGGTCTTATCAAACCGCCTCGCCGGAGCTGAAGAATGTCGAGCAGGGTTTTCCTGTGGGGCCACCTCAAGGTGTTCCACCCCAGGTACAACATGTGCAAGATCAACCAGTTCCAGGAGTTCAACATCACCATGATCAAGATCTTCAAATGCAGGCGGGAGGTCAGTTGTGGAATGTTCCTCCTGCGCCCAAGGTCGAACAAGGTTTTCGGCCGATGGATGTGTATATGAATCAAGGGTGGCTAATTGGAATACCACCGGGAGGTATGCCGCAGAGAGCGGCGTCAAGACCACCGATGGGAGTTCCTTGCATGGGAGCCACGGAAAACACAAAACACTTTTTCATCGGTGACCAACCTAATCAATGGTATAATCCTCAAGTCCATGTTGGAGGAGCACCTGCAGGACAAGATCATCGACCTCAAGGGGTTTTTGCATTTCCGGGAGGAAACACCGGACCTATGGGTGGTTATGGTTGGCCAGGGGGTCCACCGCCAGGGCAGTATGGAAATCCCGGACAAGCACCTGGTCCGCCAGGTGGTCATCAGGGAAATCCCGGTCTCCCAGGTGGTCATCAAGGAAATCCAGGACAAGCTGCACCGCCACAACAACAACAAGCTGTAGTCCAAGCAGGACCTCAGGCAGGGGGAGAAGTACCAGGCGAAACGCTAAGATCGGTCGAATTGCCGAAGCTGGACAGGAATGCAACATCTTTGGACTTTGGAGACTGGCTGACAGTTGCCCAACAGATGATTGGGGATGTGAGCTACACCTCAGAGCAATGGTGGGAAGTAGTGATGACTGCTGTTGAACAAGCATACCACCACTGGTTGCAAGCGGATCCACTCATGAGGCTCCGGATGGCGCCTGTGATACCTGACATGGCCCGTAGGTGGCCTCGCACAGAGAAACGTGTGGTGGGTATGCTGCTTCAAGCCGTCCCCAAGGACATCTACGAGGACCTTGTGGCGAACAGACACATGTCAGCGGGTCAAGTCATGTTCAAGCTGTACACCGTCTTCCAACCTGGGGGACAAGTGGAAAGAACTGCCCTGCTGCAAATGTTGGTGGACTGGAAATGTCCATCTAATAATGCTGCAGAGATGGTCAACTCCATCCGGAAGTGGAGAAGATGGGTGGTTCGTGCCGAAGAACTTCAATTGGTTTTGCCCGATCCTCTGGTTTTGGCCGGAGTGGTCGCAAAAATGAGTGATGCCTTGGCCAGATTGGGGGGAGCTCAAGCTGCCTACCGGTTGTCTTCGGTGAGACAGCATTTGGGCATAGATCTCCGGCCGGGAATGCAAGAGATCAGAACGTTTTCTGAACTTCTTCAAGCTGAAGCTGGTGAAATGGCTCTCCGTCAACCGGGGAACATAACACAGGGCCCAGCGGCTAAACCCAATAATGTGGTAGGGGTGAAGTCAATGAGTGGGCCGGATTCATCTGGAAACCCACCAAAGGGCGCTTCAAAGGGAAAACCAGAAGACGCAGCAGGTTCTTCCACCGGAAGGAGGGGAGAAAAGCCCGAGCTGCCGATTAACGCGGCTAATGTGGTCCACAAGACTGCGTGCATCAACTGGCTGACAGATAAGGGATGCCAATATGCTGACCGGTGCCGATTCACGCACACTGTCCTGGACTCCAAAGATGGCCGATGTTTCAACTGTTCTGGAAGGGGACACTCCCGACGTGATTGTCCGGCGGGAAAACGAAGTGAGTCACGAGGTCCACAAGGTGGATCCGAGGAACCAAAGGTGGCCAAAACCACAAGAATCCGCTCAAGATCTCAAGAGAGGAAAAATGGTCCTGGAAAAGAGGGAGGTGCTGCTCAAGAACATTCTGAACCTACCGTGAAGATCAATCCGATGAAGGAGTCCACGGTCACTATAACCCCTGTACCAGAGGAGGCCAACAAGGTTGTGGGAGAAGTGACCAACCTTTTGAAGGGTCTCAATGGACCGGTCTTGAAATCGGTGGGGCATGGTGGGGATCATCTTGAAGTTGAATTTGATGATGGAACAGGTTTATTGGATGGTGGGGCGACACACCCCTTGAGACAGGGATCAACCGAGGAGATCAAGAACGCGGTGCAGGTCACTGTGGAACTCGCACATGGAGCTGCTCAGCTCTATCAAAATCCTGTGAATGGAACCCTCTTGTCGGAGGGACCGGTGGAACCAATTGTACCTCTTCGAGGTTTGGTGGAATTGGGATACACCATCACTTGGTCCCGTGCAGGATGTGTTGTGAAACATCCACGACTGGGAAACATAGAATGTTGGTTAAGGTCTGGGTGTCCAGTGGTTCGAAAGGACCACGCTCTGGCTCTGATCACTGAGATTGAGCACATGGAAATGGAAAAGAGGACCAACCATCGGCTCACCTTGGAAGAGCCCACGGAGAAGACCAAGAAGTGGTGGGGATCACGATTTCCGGAAACACCGGACAGAATTTGGAATTA